TGAACATTTGGGTGGCATTATGCAAATATTTCCATATAGTGTGGTAGATATGTGGGGGCGTGTTAGAATGAGCCGTTTTAGGGGGGCGTGGCAGAGTCTTAACTTTGATAAAGAATATCTCTTTGGTTTTGAGACTTTAGTCTTTGCAACTTCAGGGATCTTATCTATGCACAATCAGCTTGTAACACTCCAAAGAGAAAGGAAAACTTGAAATCGCATCATATGACCCCTTTAATGACCTGACACCTACAGTAGGTGTCACCCACAGGGTGAAAGCATGCATCAAGTATTAAACTCTTCCTACTCCACTGCAGTGAAAGATCACTGATAAAAGCAACCAAGGGGGGTTTACTAAAAACGAATTGCGGCCCACTCATAGTGTGGTTTATTTGCACACTGTCATATACATCATTTGATGAATATGTGCTTCAATGATCAATAGAAAATGTACACAAACATCTTTTTTTTTAATTTTATACAATATATAATAAGCCTAATTTATATATGACCACAATTACAGACAGATATTTTATATGACAGACCAGCCTGGTCTCATGTTTATACGTAGGTATTAATACGTAACATTTACAAGCACAAAACGTTTTTATTAATGCTAAAACGTACAATTTAGACGTATTTCAACGTTTAAAACGTACAAATCGCTACGTATTTTTAGCTAAAAAACATACAAATATTTACGTATCTGTTATATCATTAAGATATTCGTATCAATGCATTTTTATCATTTTATCAATAAGCGATTTAGGTTTTTAGACCCCTTAACCTACGTTACCTCCAAACCTAAACCTACCCATTTTTCAGCGAATATGCATTTTTATAATTTTATTAATACGCAATTTAGATTTTTAGACGCCTTAACCTACCCCCAAACCTTAACCTACCCATTTTATAGCGAATATAAAAGGATATAAAACGCAAATGACCGAAATATGCAGGAAAATAATCATTTTAGTAACAATATAGCATTAAAATATTTTTATAGTCGCTAATTCCACTCCTACCTATAAACCTAAACATTTCTGTACAGTATAAAAAACATGACAGACAGATAAATGCAATTACAATCATTTATCTATTGCAAAAATGTCAAAAGCAGCACCAAATGTAATCCAAATGATGCGTTGCACCCGCAGTCCTCTCTGGCGGAATACAGTAGGTTTGTGAGGTTTGTGTGAGAATTTATGTTGTTAATCGCTGAAAATATTATCCAGATAATTTTCCCCATCCACTCCGTGCACTCCGTGTCTGAAGATGCCCGCGCATCATTCAAACACACCTCACCAGAAACACGGCATGTCGCAATCTGTGACGAAGGCAGGCGATAGCCAATGAGCGTTCGATTATCCTGCCGTAAAACCTGTCGTTTGAAGCGGCAACATTTGAATTTGTAAAGAGCACATCAGTCAGCGCGTCACGGTCACTGCTCGGGATGGAGAAGAAGGTCGCCGAATAAAGGCTTGGATTTGGGTCTGTTCCTCGCATTCCTCGCAGTTCGGAAGATTTGGATTACAGCACACTAATAAAATTGTTTCATTTCGTAATTATGTTGTGGATTTGGCGTATTTTATAGTTCTATTGTCAGTCACAGCATGTCGGAGAAAACGCCTTTTGTGGCCCATGGCAAACAAAGTAAACACTACATGACAAGTAAAGGTTAAACGATTGCAGAAATGTTATTTATTTTAAGGTTTAAACTAAAGTCGTGTTTAACATTATGTAGGCATATTCTTGGAAACGAGCTGGCAGCAGAAATCACACAACAAAACCGAAATGTTATCATTTCACAAGTAAATGAGTAAACAATTTAATAAT